TACTGTCTATACTCCCCTCCTACTCCATGTGTATTCTTGGCCAGCATGTGACATTCATTACGTGACGTATGTTTTATATGGGGTTTTTTTAAACTATTTTTGCTTTCCATGTTGTGCCAGTTTATATATCACATAGGTGTCATGTGCACATATTTGTCTAATATGTCTGTGATAAGTGTGTGTTTGTGTGAGCTGTTTAGGCAAGTGTGCTGTGTTTGTTCATGAGGAATAGTTCTGCAGCTTTGTTTATTGGCGTGTGTGCTATGTTTATTGTAAGAGCAAATGACTACCGAAACAGCTGTTCTTTTACCAATATGGAACTAGGCACAGGTATAGAGCTACAGTACATATACACACATATATAAATATATCTTAGTAGTCATTGGTTAATGCAGAAGTTGCCTGATACCATTGATGATACCATTTATTGGCTAAAATGACCAGTGAAACACCATGATGTCAAAAGACGCACTGCATCATTTTAACCAGTTGACATCCGCGGTGTTAAACCCCCTTCCCATCCAGGCCATTTTTCAGTATTCAGCGCTGCGGTACTTTGACTGACATTTATTCCGTCATGCAGCGCTGTACTGAAATAAAAAAGGTATCCTTGCAGTAGGGTTACCCCTGTACCATATATATATATACACTTAGTGGCCAGATTATTATGACCACCCCATCAGTACTTCGTAAAAATCACTTCTACTGTCGTGGTAAGCAACCTGCTTCCCTATTTATAATGGTCTGGCCCTCTAGCAACTTCAGCGCAAAATAATAGCTAATTATAGATAATTTGCCTACAAGCGTCACGTGGTCATAATAAACTGGCCACTCAGCCCATAGGTGACGATTAAAACGCTTTTACTGTTCATCAGTTTAGTGTTATCAGTGACATCTTATATATATATATATATATATATATATATATATATCACTGTCAGTGGAATTTTGTTCAGATATCTAAAAAAAACAATACGCCATACAGATCTGATCGCAGTGTTTTTTGTGTACACCCGTGTGCATGAGCTCTAATGCTGGTCATACACCAGTAAAAGTTCATTTGAAAATATTTAGTTTTTGGAACATTTGTTCCAGTTTCTAATGGTTAGTGGGGTCTAATTGTCATTCAATTTCGAAGATCGAAGGCCCAAGATGGAAAATGTTTCTCCTTTCTTATCTGAACGAATAAAATTATAACCGTGAAATGGGATTTCCGTTCAGGAAAAAATGTGCACATTGTAATGCACATGTGTGAGACACAAAAGAAACCAGTTTAATACATCTGGGATTCCATGCAAGTAGCCAGTCTGGGCAGAATTTTTAAGGGCTTTCAAGCCAAATCCATTGATTCAATGATGGCGAGATTGAATGTTCTGATGCACGATTTCAAAGGAACACTTGAATGAAATTCTAACAGTGTACGGCCAGTTGTCCATGTGCCAAGAGAGGCATATTGAAATTGACTCAATGGTGGCAAGATTGGATGCTCTGATTCACGGTTTCAAAGGAACATTTGTATGAAATTCTAACAATGTATGGCCAGTTGCCCACGTACCTAGGGGGGCAAATGGAAATTGACTGAATGGTAGGAAGACTGGATTAACTATTTTGAAGAAACGTTCCAATGGAATTCTAATGGTGTATGGCCAGTTGTCCATGTGCCAAGAGAGGCATAGGGAAATTGACTCAGTGGTGGCAAGATCGGATGCTCTGATGCATGAATTTGAAGGAACGTTCGAACAAAATTCATACAGTATATGGCCAGCTTTAGATTGAGTGGCTGTCCACATGCCAAAAGAGGCATATGAAAATTGACTCAATGGTGGTAGGATCGGATGCTCTGATAAACTATTTAGAAGAAACGTTCCAACAAATTTCTAACAGTGTATAGCCAGTTGTCCATGTGGTAAGAGAGACACATGGGAATTGACTCAATAGTGGCAAGATCGGATGCTCTGACACTCAATTTAAAAAAAACTTTGAACAAATTATTTTTTTCTAAATTCTTTATTGACTGAAAAAGTGTTCAGTTACACAGTAAATGAGCAAAAGGCAAGTATACAAAGTCCACAGACTCCATAATACAACGGACTACACTGTATCACATACATATAACCTGACTTATAAAGTCATATCTGTACGGTAGTAAATCCGCTCAGTACAGTATTTGGTTCATCCACAATTCAACGCAATACTATATTCCTGTACAAGGAAGCTCAATTGACTATGTACTATTCCTGAGAATAGCTGTGTCCCATGGTCAAAGAAAAAACAGTAGAGAGGAAGAACCAGAAAAGAAAGGAGAGGTCGGGCCCCGTCCGGGTCCGACGCATCTATTAGGGGTCCAAGTTTCTCTGTGGGGTTACACCCCCCTGAGTGATCCAAGGGCAGGTATACCCTTGAGGACTGACAGGGATGTCCGGAGGAGAGAATCCCTGTTGAATCGTCCTGAGAAAGCGTGAGAAGACTCTGTGCAGAGGTTCTGTAGCACAACCACAGCCCCAGGTGGCATTATTTGAACAAAATTTTTACAGTGTATGGCCAGTTGTCCACGTACCAAAAGAGGCATATGGAAATTGACTCAATGGTGGCAAGATCGAATGCCCTGAAGCACGATTTTGTGAAAAAGTTCCAACAACAATTCTAACAGTGTCAGCTTTAGATTCAGGGCTGTCTTTATGCCAAAAGTAGCATATGGAAATCAACTCAATGGTGGCCAGATCAGATGCTCTGATGGACTATGTTCTAACAAAATTTGAACAGAGTATTGCCAGTTGTCCATGTGCCAAGAGAGGCATATGGAAATTGACTCAGTGGTGGCAAGATTGGATGCTCTGATGCATGAATTCAAAGGAACGTTCAAACAAAATTCATACAGTATATGGCCAGCTTTAGATTGAGTGGCTGTCCACATGCCAAAAGAGGCATATGAATATTGACTCAATGGTGGCAAGATCAAATGCCCTGAAGCACGATCTTGTAGAAAAGTTCCAACAACATTCTAACAGTATATGGCCAATTGTCCGTGTGCCAAGAGAGGCATATGGAAATTGACTTAATGGTGGCAAAACTGAACGCTCTGACACTTTTGAAGGAACATTTGAACGAAATTCTAACAGTGTATGGCCAGTTATCCACGTGCCTAGAGAGTCATATGAAAATTGACTCAATGGTGGCAAGACTTGAATGCTCTGATGCTTGATTTCGAAGGAACATTTGAACAAAATTCTGGCGACCTTTAGATTCAGTGATTGTCTCCATGCCAAAAGAGGCATATTGACTCAATTTCAAAGGAACATTCAAACGAAATTGTGGATGACCAGTTGTGACAAGAGAGTTATATGGAAATCGACTCAATGTTGGCATGTTTGGATGCTCTGATAGATGGTTTTGAAGGAACATTTGAATGAAGTTCTAACAGTGTATGACCTGTTCTGATGCTCGATTATGAAGTTACATTCGAACAAAATTCTAACAGTGTATGGCCACTTGTTCATGTGCCTAGAGAGCTATGTGGAAATTGACTCAATGGCGGAAAGCTTGAATGCTCTGATGTCCGATTTCGAAGGAACATTTGAATTAAATTCTAACAGTGTATGGCCAGCTTTAGATTAAGTGATTGTCTCCAAGCCAAAAAAAGACATACAGAAATTGACTCAACGATGGCAAGATCGGATGCTGTGGCCAACGATTTCAAAGGAACATCCAAACGAAATTGTAATATTGTATGGCCGGTTGTCCATGTGCCAAGAGAGGTATGGCACCCTGACTCAATGTTGGCCAGATCGGATGCTCTGACACTATGGAAGGAATATTTGAACGAAATTCTAACAGTCTATGGCCAGTTTTAGATTGAGCGGTTGTCCACGTGCCCAAAGAAGCATATGGAATTTTCTATATGGATAGCCAGGCACGGCCCTCTAACAGTGCAAAGGGGTGTCAGGAGGAAATGCACTGTTCTCTCTGAACACTTGTGGAACTACAGACTTGTGACAATATTGTATCATGCCGTAATGGTGTCTGCTGGTACAAAGCCCCTATTCTTGCATTGTGTGTGTGTGTGTGCCTTGATAAGGCTGTGCAAGGTGGAGCTGAGTGTCATATGTGCAGTCTGTGTGTCTGGTTGGAGTTGTGTATGTGTGGTATGTGTGTAGGGGTGAGAGCCAGGCTGTGAGAGAGCCCTTATATTATTGCAAACCACTCCTTTCCCCCTGTGTGCTGGGAGAGAAGGGGAGAGAGGGCTCTCTGCAGCAGGCGCCTGTCCCCCCTCCTATGGGCAGAGACTGGGAGGAGAAGAATTGGAGGGGGGCGGTGTGGCGATGCCCCCCCCTCCCTCCTCCTCTCCCCTGCAGCCCATGTCTGGCTAGGTGGGAGCATGCGCAGTAGAGTCAGCCCTGGAGTAGAACTGATGTTGGAGGGTCATTCTCAGACAGTTCTGCAGGGCTGCAATAAATCACCCTGCACATTCCCACCCCTCCCTCCCTCTGTCTGTCTCCCTCCCTCTCTCTCTCTCACTCTCTCTCTCTCCTTCCTTCCTTCCTCCCATCAGCTTGCCACCTCTCACTTTTGCAGCTCTTCTCCCTGCTTTCCTAGCCCAGAGCTCCCCCCTCCCCCTTGTCCCCTATCCTTACCCTATAAAATTGGGGGAGCTGATAAGCTCCCCTACATCTTAGCAATCCCTGATAGTAAGAGCATCCTTTATCTTTGCAGACTAAGCAGGCTCTGCCCTGCCACATAATAGAAAAAAACCCCCATTCTTTCTAGCTTCCCCTACTTCCCCAAACCCCACTGACACCCCACTGGATACTATGTCTCCCGGATCTCTCTAATAAAAAGGGGGGTCACTGCTTGACCACATCTGGATCTAAAGCCTGAAGACCCGAAGACCCTTCTCTATACATTGATCCAGACTGGGTTTTTTTTTTGGTAGGAGTCTTTTTTTTATATTTTATAAACCGATATTGAAAAAACCCAAAAAGAAAATATTTTTGGAAGGGTGTGCTTCTTCTGGATTATTGTTTTGTTATTATTATTTTTTTTTTGTTGCTATTTTTTCAAACCAAAGAAGACAGGAATTCGCTAGCCTCCAGACATTGCAACCTGCAGAAGGTGAGAATGTGTAGGGGTGTTTCGGGGGCAGATGAAGGGGGAGGGGGATAATTTTTGAAGGACCTGTTTGTTAACCAGTTAAAGGATGCATTTGCGTACTTTTATGGGTATAAGCCAACTGTATGGGGGGTTAGATATTTGGGGTCAAGGACAGGTGATATTATGCAAAAGGTGGGCTTAGCCACCCCACCGTTGACTGTTCTTTCAACGCGTTGATGACTGTCAGGGTACAGTGTGTGTTATGTGCATATCTGGTGTACAAGGGGAGACCTGTCACACCAATACACCAAGGGGGGGGGGTGATCTGTCAGAACAATGTCTATTGTTATTATAGATTTTGGATTTCTATGTTCCTGCATTTTCTCTGTTTATTTATTTAGGAATACTAAACTAAAAACAAAAAAATCTACTTTGTGAAATCCCATTTCTGTACTCTGGTATAAGTGATGTATATTGTTTATGTGACTTTGTACTAATGGATGATACTCGGCCTCTGGGACAACCAACACGCTGTGCCGTCTTATACAGCCACAAAATAAGTTTATGGAAAATGCCAATTAGAAATGAAACTGTATCCGTAACGTGTATAGGAGGAAAATTGGGGGTTTGTGGCATTCCGCTCTCTGTCATTTCTGTGACAACAAACAACTAAAACTTTATTTATTCTGGAAAAATCATAATGAGCGATACAACTATGATAGTATATTGAGAAAGGACATGAAGAAGGCAATGCAGCCGTGGTTTGGGTTGAAGTTCTTTTTATTTTCTGTGCAGAATCTGTATTATTTGCTTACTAGATCTGACAGTAAAAGGTTTTATTGATTTTACATTTTGGTAAGGAGAGCTCTGCGTCCTGATATCTGTGTATTAGGAGGAGAGGAGAGCTCTGCGTCCTGATATCTGTGTATTAGGAGGAGAGGAGAGCTCTGCGTCCTGATATCTGTGTATTAGGAGGAGAGGAGAGCTCTGCGTCCTGATATCTGTGTATTAGGAGGAGAGGAGAGCTCTGCGTCCTGATATCTGTGTATTAGGAGGAGAGGAGAGCTCTGCGTCCTGATATCTGTGTATTAGGAGGAGAGGAGAGCTCTGCGTCCTGATATCTGTGTATTAGGAGGAGAGGAGAGCTCTGCGTCCTGATATCTGTGTATTAGGAGGAGAGGAGAGCTCTGCGTCCTGATATCTGTGTATTAGGAGGAGAGGAGAGCTCTGCGTCCTGATATCTGTGTATTAGGAGGAGAGGAGAGCTCTGCGTCCTGATATCTGTGTATTAGGAGGAGAGGAGAGCTCTGCGTCCTGATATCTGTGTATTAGGAGGAGAGGAGAGCTCTGCGTCCTGATATCTGTGTATTAGGAGGAGAGGAGAGCTCTGCGTCCTGATATCTGTGTATTAGGAGGAGAGGAGAGCTCTGCGTCCTGATATCTGTGTATTAGGAGGAGAGGAGAGCTCTGCGTCCTGATATCTGTGTATTAGGAGGAGAGGAGAGCTCTGCGTCCTGATATCTGTGTATTAGGAGGAGAGGAGAGCTCTGCGTCCTGATATCTGTGTATTAGGAGGAGAGGAGAGCTCTGCGTCCTGATATCTGTGTATTAGGAGGAGAGGAGAGCTCTGCGTCCTGATATCTGTGTATTAGGAGGAGAGGAGAGCTCTGCGTCCTGATATCTGTGTATTAGGAGGAGAGGAGAGCTCTGTGCCCTGATGTCTGTGTATTAGGAGGGCAGGTGCTGCCTAAGGACTAGAATATTTGGCCTTACACAGAAAACAATGGGGACAGAACTGACCTAACTGTTCCTTACTGTGAATTATTTCAGAGGAAATAATAGTGATTGGGTGTAAATACAAACCGTTACCTCAGGTATCTGCTGACATTTGTAAAATGTAAAGATCTTAATTTTTATGGGATACTGAAAGCAAATGGAACCGGTTTCTGTGTGATAATGCGAACACCCAAGTGACAGGTCCTCTTTAAAAACCAGACACAGCATTAGGGGACATTAGATCCGGCCTCTTCCCGGTCAATGAGTTAGTCTGCACTTCCTGCTCTACTCGCCTTCCTCCCGGCTGCAGAGCACGATGGGACCTATTTGGAGGGAAGGAAATCAGGAAGAGGTGGACTGCATATTGACCTGGTTGATGTCTTTGTTTACCCCTATTTACAAATATAATTACAAAGTAGACACAGAATAATGGTTCTTTAATTTAATTAACAGGTTCAGTGAGGCTCAATTCACAAAGCATTACACAAGGATAAAGAGCTTTATTTTTAGCCATGTGACTGTCATTCTCACATGTCAAAGTAACTGTCACAATTATCAACATTGGATCAAATCTGTTTGTAAAGTAAAAGAACAATCTCTTATGTCATAGCTTTACTTTTAACATTCCTGCCTGCCATGCCGATCCACCAGTGGAGGCCCAAGGATAACCCGGCATTTCTGGGTATGTGGCAAGCTTGAACATTCCTCTAATGTGAACAAGTGGATGTAGCTAGAAGGAAACGTGAGTGAGAAGTATTTTAAACAGAGGTTTTAGATAGAAATCACAGGGATCCATAGTAAAAGAGCGGTGGGGCCCATCCAGTTGGACCTCTTTAGAAAACCATAGTACAGCTAATGTCTTGGTTCCCTGATTATGGGTCGTTCTTTTTTTAATGTGGTCTCTCTCTTGAATGTCTTATGTGTCCCTACTTTCGAGTCCCTTTTAGTATGTATCTTCTTGCTTTTGTGTAGCCTACGTAATGTGTCACCCAGCTATTGAGTCACCTTTCCTTTGCGTGTCTCCTGCTTTGATGTCTCCCCATAGGTCTCTCCATTTTGTGTCTCGTTTTCTGCGTTTGCCCACGTCTTGGTGTCACCTTTTCTGAATGTCTTCTTTCTTGCTTCCCTACTTTTATTCTTTTTTACTTTTGGCTCCTTCTGTATCTCTTTCCCTGCTTTATGTTCATTTATGTTTCTCTACACTTTTTTTGTGCTTTTGTTTTTTCTGTTCCTTTGATTTGTTTCTTGATGTTGATTAGTAGTGGCCCTCTTTTTTGCCACATTGTATCCATTTTCCCAGGGAGTAACCTCTAAGAGACATTGGGCATCCCGTACCTTTAATACTTGGTGTACTGGCAATACTTGGTGTACTGGCATTGGTAATGGCAATATAGGGGGATCTGCATATCTCAGTGTTGAAAAAGAAAGTGCTTGATGCCTGTGACCTCCATTAGTGCATGGAATAGCGGTCAGAGCATCAAGGTACAAGACCACTGAGGCAAAAGTAAGAACTGGAGGTACTTCTTCTCAACCACCAATGAGCATCATAACTATCCTGAAAACGGAATCTGATTGGTAGAAAAATAAGTGAATTTCTTACATACATAGACTAAGTCTCATGTAGAAAACCTGGAAAGTACTGGAAAGTTGCCCACAGTGGTCAATGAGATTTCTGTTGTCATTTTCTTTTTTTATAAAATTTGATACATTAAAAAATATTTTATGGGGACATTTTGCTGCTGAGGTACTGTATCTAAGTTTGCCGTACACAGGGCTATGTCTGAAGACCATGAGACTTTGTGCACATGGGGCAGTTTTAGGCGGTTGGAATATAGATACTTCTTTGTATTTTAACTGCTGTTCTCCAGTAAATATTAACAAGAGAACATTAACAAAAGGTAAAAATTGACTAACGTGCAGAAAAGGGGGTGACTTGACACCGTGACTCCATGTGTGGTGCAGCTGAGTATTTGTGAATGTGTCTGTGCTGGAGCTGCATGAAATAAACCATTTCGTATAGTGAAATGAAAAAGTCAGAAATGTAAAATTCTGTGTATGGTGGACCTGACAATGCAAGATATTGGAGTATGAACTCAGACCTATGCACAGAGTCAAAATGGACAATGAAAATCCAATATATGGTGGACATGAGGCCCTCTCTATGGTAGACCAGGCACATTTGGCCCATGTATATGGTGTGCTGGACTCTTAAGGCCCCGTGTAAGGTGTAACTAAGAACTTCGACCCTGTGTATGGTAGACCAGAACCTTTAAGGCCCTATGTTTGGTGGACTGGATCCATGAAGCCTTGTGTATGGTGGCTGGAGTCCTAAGGTCCTGTGTAAGGTGGAACTGGGAACCTGGGGCCCTGTGTATGGTAGACCAGAACCTTTAAGGCCCTGTGTTTGGTGGACTGGACCCATGACCCTGTGTTTATGGTGGCTGGATTCTTAAGGCCATGTCTAAGGGGGAACTGGAAACCCGAGTACTTCTGTAAGGTAGACCTGGAAATATTTGGCCCTTTGTGTGGTTCAGCTAGGAACACGAGGACCCCACTGTAAGGTGGAGCCAGGAATGAGAGGTCCTGTGTATGGCTGAACTAAACACTGGAGGACCTTTGTGTTGTAGAGTTGGGAGTAGGAAGCCCTGTACTTGTTTCAGTGGGAGTATATAGTGCTTTCTATGGCGGTGTAAGGTCTTGTGCATGTAGTATTCACTGGTACGTGAAGCCTTGTGTATATATGTCATAAGGCAGGGCTAGACCAACCTCGGCACTCCAGCTATGGTGAAACTACAAATCCCATGATGCTTGTGGGAGTCATGCCAGTGTCTGTCAGTCTTGAAATGCCTCATGGGATGTGTAGTTTCACCACAGCTGGAGGGCTGAGGTTGCATACCCATGTCATAAAGCAATCATTGTATTTCAGGTTGATACATAAATGCTGTTTTGCTGAACAAAATGGCTGCCTTTACTTTAGCTATTGATAAATGCAGCTTGAAAAGATATCATACATGTGCTAGGTAAAAAATACAGCTTGATGTAAGAAGAATATTTATTGTATTAAAGGAGAACTATGGGGTCAGTGTTTTTCCCCATAGTTCTCCTTAGGGTAACGGGAGGACACAAACTAGCATCCTCCCGTTACCCTAAGCTCAGTATACCGTGAGCTACAGCTCGCGGTATACTGAGACGCCGCAGCCGGAGCGGATCCCGGCGTAGATGACGGGATCCGCCCAGCTGCATGA